TATTATATAAACAAACATACAAAAACAAAAAAAATTTAATTTAAATTAAATATTAAGCACTCACAAAAGTCACTAAAGTTGTTATTTACACTAGTTGAGATAAATGATCGAAGGTGCGACTAGACGTATACTTCATCTGATACTCAGCTATGAATAATGAAGTCTATATTATGAAGCTGATAATTCGGAAGCTTATAGCTCTCGTCGTCTTGTGTTTGAAAACTTAAGAAAACATTAATAAAATTAAAATATTAAATAATATATTTTTTTGTTTTTTAGTTGAATTACAAAAGAACCTTTTAACTTATCGACTCAATTAAAATAATATATTCCTATATTCAAACTAATTGACTTAATTAAGGCAGGAAATGAGTGTTATAGATTGAGAGTTTTAATTAATTAACAAATTGACTCAATTAAAATACTTAATGATTTCAAGCTAAAATCTTGGTTGAGTTAATTAGCAGTGATGTTTCACATAGTTTTTATTTGAGTAATACTGATTCAATTAATAAAAGCTTCATGCTTTTTTATACGAGTGTTGGAGGTTGTGGGATCCATACAAAGGCTATGTCTTGATTGGAAAATAAATTACAATAAAATTAAATTAAGTGAAAGTTTTTTTATTTACATAAGTACTCATATTTCCCTCTAAAAAATTTAATAAAAAAATAATATAAAATTATATATATTATTTAATTATATTCTCCAACACTTCAATTTATTTTGTTTTTTCTTTGTTTTGCTAACGTTTGTTTAGTAATTTACTATATATATGTATATACTTTTTTATAGTTTTTGTTTATATTTTCGTTTTATTTCAATATTTTTCATATTATTACAAAGCAGGTAACAATTTCTACACACAAAGTACACAAATCACATCTAAGTGTGGTTATTATCCTTTTGATCCTGGGAAAGTAGGCTACATTATAAAACTGTAAAATTTACAAAAGAACTTTTGAAGCTTTTCACAAGAAATCACAAACATTTTACAATATTGCTAAATGCTCTTTAACTAGTTACTAGCTTCTAGCGAAGTCAACGTGGTATTTTACATGCTTGCAGAAATACAAAAACAGAGAATCTTCAGTTTTATTTTAAGTATAACAAATATTTTGAGATTTTATGTATTTGAGTTGCATTTTTGTACAAAAACTGTTGTTTTTGTTTTTGAAAAATATTTTTTTAACAAAATAGGAATGTCAAAGCACTGAAAATATATTTAACAGTGCTCACTACTACACACACGCATATATAAATATGTATTCACACAATCATTTACATAACGCATAGATAACTAGGTCGGTATGTGTTTAGCAGCTAAGACTACACGCTAAACTAAGCTTAGTGTATTTATTTAAATTTTTTGTTGTTTTTGGTTTGGGTAATTTTTGGTTTCGGTTGATTCTAGCGGCCTTTGAAGGGCTTACATGTTTCTAAATATAATTTCACAATTGTTTCATTTCGATTATAGGTATGTTGTGGTAATTTTTATATAATTTTACATTTTTACTTTAAAGCTTTAATTGCATATATATACTTTTTGTTAAATTATATACAAAAAAAGTTACAAAAAACATATAAAAAGTATAAAAAATATAAAATATATTAAAAATCAAAAAACCATTTTTTAACCAGCAAAATAACTAATTTTCCAAGCATTTTTCAAAATTCCAAATAAAAAATATTCTATTAAACAACTAACCGTTTTTGTTTGCCGCAAAAACAAAGCTTTTTTACAATTTAGATATTTTATGTAACTACTTATATTTTTTCACAATTTAACTCACTCTTGCATACGCTTAGTTATTTGCTTTCTTCACGAAAACCTTGCCACATTTCATTTGCTATTTTTTAGTAATGTAGCTGTTTTTGCTTTTGATATATATGTATATATTTTGCATAAGTAGTTCTACTGCTGTTTTAACCTAACTGTACAATTTAATATTTATCTAAGTAACTGTTTTTTCTTTTATATTTTTATTGATGAGTTTCTCCTTAAACACATTCGCTTTTCACCCACCTTCCCTCACACACGCCTTGCTTACATTCAATTATTTATCACTTGGTATTTGGTTAGATCCAGCAAATGCTCGTAGAAAAGATCCTCATGCGGCGTCAAACCGATCATTATCCAGCCACAGATGGCGCCAATGCTGCGCGTCACCGATAAACTACTCCAGACACTTAATACGCTGTTGCTATACTGCTCGGAAGAGATGAAAAATAAAAGTTTTTAAGACTCAATACTGATGGCTTTTTAATTGAGTTAATTAGAAATTATTGTTGACAATTTCTCAATTGACTCAATTAGAACAACTAATGAATACGATTTTCAACCTAAGTGCTTGATAAGTCAGTTAGTAAGTCAATTAGCAGTTGGTATTTCAGACAGGTTCTTAAATGAGTGATACTAATTGACAAAAACAACGCCTACTGATTGCAATTTTCAAACTAAGTACTTGGCCCTTTAGCAATTGGTTTTTCATGCAGTCCTCATTGGGTGATACTAATTGGACTTAATTAAGACGTAAAATTATTGTTAGAGACTGTCACTCTCATAAAAAATAGCTCACTGTCAATTAGTAGTTTTTAGTTGAATAATGATTAAGTCAGGTAATCAGAGTATGAACTATAGGATAAAGCTTGCATAAAAAAAGAAGCTGATTGAGTCACTTACTTAACTAATTGACTCATTTAAAATGCATAAATATTTTGATTTTCAATTTAAATCATGACATATGTGTAAAAAGTTGCGAATTTTCAAAAATAGTGCTGAATTGAGTCAATAAGTGCAGACAATTTGTTAATTGACTAAATTAAGCTGATGATTTCGATTGTTTGAATTCATAAATAATACCTCATAAATATTGCTAATTCATTAAATTATATTATATTATAAATAACTTTTTCTACTAAATATACAACTAAATAGTTTAACTGTTATGCTCCTGATCCACTCACCAATTCTTCCTGTGTTAGCGTCACATTCGCATTGTTATTGTAATAGAGTCGTTCATCAATCGAATCGGAGCATATCGTTAATATTATTGTCGCTATATAAATCATTGCAATAATGAGCCAACGAAATGAAATGAACTCGCTGGCATTGCTGAAGTCCCAACGGCAAATGTCCATACTGGAAAGAGAGAACACAAAAACTTGCTTAAAAACTGACCAAAAATGGAAATTCATTTACTCAATAAATAATAGTTCATGTCAGCTTCCCCAAGCAAGACTTTCTCGGTTTCTTCTTCTTCAAACCAGTTAAACGATACTCTAGCCCAAGATTCTCAGTCACTGTCTAATTGACAGTCATGCCAGCAACTGTGTACAACTTGCTATGACTGTTATAAAAGCTGTCAAGGGGGACGCCCAAACTAACCCTCAGTCATATCATGCTTCTTTTCATAAATGCCGACTGTAAGGCAATTAATCTGAGGATTGAAAACTAAGCTAGTATTAAATATAAACTATTTTCGTACGTTAATAATATCTCACAAGAAGTTATTCACATTTTCCGAACAAAAGTATAAAATTTCTATAAATTCAACGATGACATTTGACATTTCGTGCCATCGTCATAAAAATCTACATACAGACATACATACCTTGCTAACGGAAATCTGAGACAAAAGCTTTAGTGCTATAGTATATATAAAATTTTCATCATTATACCAGTTATAGAATAATCAAATAAAGCCGCTGGCATATACTGAAATCTATGTACGAAGATAACTATCCAGTAGGAAAATATAACAGTTTGAAATACTTAGATTAAAGTTATACTTCACTAGGATCATTGGGAGTTCAAATTCATACTTTTATTTTTTATAACTGCCCAGGTGAATCGAATATGTTCACGTGAGACAATTTCTACAAATATTTCCTGTAGTTCCGAAGTTGTTGCGAAGGACAAAAATATGCCGAGCAACGAATTGAAAATAAGAATTAGTAACGACCACTAAAGCTGCGTGCATGATTTAGAGCTTTTTCAATAAAGTCACACTTCTGTGGTGTTATTTCTTTTATACGTTATCCATTCAGCCGTCTCCATCACACATATTTCTCAGTGTTACACCCAAACTATTCCAACTTCCGACCTAAGGTTTTTTTAAGGTTTGAGCTTTCCTACATGGTACATATGTTGTACATGACTCTAGGATGTTCCACTCAAATAACAACAGATACAGCAGAACCCAAACAAATCTGCTTATAATGCAACACAAGCAGGCACAGTTGACATTAAAAAAATAATTTATACAAAAACAATAATAACCGTAAACAACATGCAGGCTGCAGTGAAAAGAGCAACCAAAGGCATCATATGCACGGAAGTGAATTGAAAGGGCGGAATGACGAAGAATACCATAAATGACGAAACTCTTAAATGAAGGGGATACACATATGTATATTATATTCATATATTATAAAAATACATATGTATGCATGTACATATGTATCGACATTAGGGTGGGCTAAAAAAAGAATGAATTTGCTTTTCGTTTGGTACTTTGGAAAATAGGTGCTGGAAAAAGACGCGTTTTTTTTCTTATAATTGGACAGAAAAATATTTAACTCGTTTCCAGCTATTTGAAAAAATATCTCGTTTCATACTTTTTGTAGGAAATTGAATGGTCAACAAAATGATCCCTTAATATTTTTCGTAAATATAACGATTTAAAAAATTATTAACGACTGCAGTTTGATTATTTTAAACGAAAAGAAAAAATAGTAATTTGAAATTTTAAATCTCAAAATTTGGTTCACTTTCATACATATATAAAATACCTATGAACTCATCCGTATTGTAAGCAGCAGCTGTAGCCACAGCTGTAGTTCGTGCAAATACTTTATGCTGGGAAAGTTGGCGTGTTAAAGGTCAAACTATTTTTCAATAGTAAACTTGTAATTCTTGCACGCTGTAAAACATTTTTGGCAAAAAGTACAAATACTAGGAATGCATAAGAGTGTAGATGGCAATCATGTATTAATATAGAAAATCATATATGATTGCAGAAAAATTAGCGCTAGAGCAGAATTTAGTTATAAAATAGAAAAGGTTAAATCCTAGTTTAACTCACACAGTACTTAAATTGTATTCTCTAAGAGTTCAGTGATTTTACTAGTTATAAACCAGTTATAGTTTAAAGTATAATAAACCAGTACTAACTGGGGGAGATCATTTTAATTTAAAGTAAAAAAATGCATTTACTTACAGTCTCCAAATGTCAATAATTATAAGCATAAAAAAATTCATAGGACTCTGGTCTTCAAATATCAACAATCCTGAGGACACGAAAGTTCGTAAAGACAGACAATTAAAATCGTCTCGGCTGATATTCTATTTTGTACACAATCTTCAGTCTGTATGGACCAAATCCTGCTCCATTTGCCACCAATTATTAACCAGTTGTATAATACCTTCATTGAAATTTTGTTTGAGTGCATATTTCCTACAGGCTGGCTATGACTTGCCTCAATGGTAATGTGCATAGGCAGAAGAAAAGCGTTGCACACAAATACAAGTGAGCGCATACATATTTATTTGTGTGAAAACGTGTCGGTATGCGCTAAAAATGTCAACAGCGAAAAGCGCAATAACGCAATGAAAAGCAAATGCAATAATAGTTAAAACAACAACGCAGACTTATACAGCAAGACACTGCAAACAGCGAGCAATGAGCTCACTGCTGCACACATGTGTGGGTAAACATACATATTTATTTCATTACGAAAGTAATACAGTAGAATTTTTACAGCAAATGTCAAAAGCTCAAGCATGACAGCACGTCAGTCACAATCACAAAAACAACACCAACATATGTGTAAACAAATACTTTTATTTATTATGAGCAAGCGCCATGTTTGACGTGTTGTAATGACAAAATGTGGTGGCATATACAAAAAATGATAAAAATTGTGCACGTATATGTGTGCGTGTGTTGCGCATTCAACACATTACCATAATTATTTTAATATTTATATTTCACACAAGTGCTAAAAATAAAAAGTATTTGCTTTTGAATTAAATTAATTTTTGCGAGTGGCAAAAGCGTACCTACACACACACACACATGCATATGTTACAGTTGAAATTCCTTGCAAACAGCGCCATCACTACGAGTGCACTTCGGCCGCCACATTTTCAGCGCCCTAACGCCCACTACATTAGCGCACACGCCTACACTGATGACCGTGACGAAGTATTTGAAATTTATGATTTATTATCTGCGGCAAGCACAGGCCACACACACACTTGCGCACCAGTTTATGCATGCTGGCGCAAGGAGCGAACGCTAACCTTAGCAAAAGTTACCGTTAATGGCTTAAGTAGTTAGAGCAGCTCATGAATAAGTCGCAGGCAAGTGCTTGCGCCCGCCTACAAGCTGCCACAACAATTAGTGTGGCTAATAGTAGCAAGTGAACTTGTAATTCGCTCTTGACTGCTGCGCAAGTTTGCTGATTTTTCCTTGCTTCCACAACTTAATTTACATTTACATTGCTGCATATTTAATCTTTAAAATATTAATCCGAAAAAATCCTTGTGTTCTTGCTTGAAAGGGCAATGTGTTCTTGAAATTTCGAATAGCTACCGAAATCGAATTAAGCCTTTAAAAATTGGCGCATAGGTATTTGTTAAGTGGAGAAACATGTTCATATGTAATATATGACAATTTTATATGAGTGTATACAAGCACATATTTTATATATTGGTTAGTCGAAAAGGAATTTTCGCATTTTATATAAGTAAATACAAATAAGTATTGAATAATACAGCTGCAGTCCATTTGCGGAATTGCTCATATGAATAATGAAAAACATGGCACACACACAAGCACACATACATATATTTTGAAGTGGCAAGCTTTAGTGGACAGCAAATGTGAGGTGAAATGTGAGATGCAGAAGAAGTTTGGTTCAAACACTATACATTTCCACTGCCCACAATTCGCGCAAATTCCTGTTCTGCTTCCATTGGAACTCAATTTTCTTTTAGCAAGCCTTTGAAAAAGTAGTAAGTCTTCAGTAAATCAAATATGAGCTTTTTTTAACTACTAATAAAAAAAAAATATTTTTATAAATAAAAAGATGATAAAAAGCTTTCATGGAAGCCAGATATTGAAAATATAGTAAGGAAAACATAGTTATAATAGTCTAGAGGAACTACAGAGAAAAGTTGGGGACTCTCACCAAAGCAGCCGTTGGAGTAGAAGCATATTGATTTTTTAAACGGGTGGGTCGAAGTTAGAAAGGCAGGTTGGAGGCGAGTTTTCTGTAAAGAGCTCTCCTTCAATCCTAACTTCAGGCAAAAATGGCTGCTGTGAAGGTAGCAGTAGATTTACTAACTTGCCCTGAGCAAATAGGCGTTCATGCCGTAAGGCTAAAAATCTTGTCCGACGATAGCTGTCAAAGTTGTATGAAAAAGGGTGAGGTGGAAACATCCATGCCAAAAAGATATAGCAGAAACCGGCATTAGCCGTCCCAATAAATTTGTTTTAGGCTCAAAGCGCTTTATCGATATGTGAGTGCCTTATGATCTGGTATATAGGAGTTTTTAGGTATCACAATGGACCGTTGTTCTAAGCTGTCCAGCTGAGATCTCTCTCAGGATCGACCTCTTAACCTATCCTAACCCAATCTTGCAACCGCACACAGGACTTCGTTCGACTATACTCTATATAGAAATTTCTTCAACAGCTTTTATACATGGTGTTTGTGGAGCGACAGTACATCGCCTACTGTAGCCTTAATAATTTTCGCATTCCATGGTTATTTTTCGTTTTTCAAACAAGATTTTTAGCATGTCTACCTTCAATGCAGCCACGCTTAGAGTTCACTCTATAACCGGAACGTTAAAGGTCAATTCTACAAACGCTTGAAAATGTGCAACGTAGTAAGTAGAGTAAAGTACTCGTGCGCATATATATATATATATATGGGTGTGTGTGTACGGGCAATGGCAATCAGTCAGCTGGCTGGCAGTGGCCTTCCTAATAGAAATACAAGTAATTTACGTACATAACAAAGCGGTGACGTCGCTATTACGGTGCTGTTATGCGGATCCAAGTATGTAAGCTGAGGTTGAGGGTGCATTTCGTTGGCATTAGCGTATTGTAAATGCTGCATAAGTGCCAGCAGAGCATTACGAGCAAAACATATACTTATATAATATATGTATACATCACTGCGCTCACACGTGCCTGCGCCTATTTGTATGCAGTCGATTGCAATTGTAGGCTGCATGTGTCTAAAACACATACAATTACATATGAGCAAAATATATAACGGATTTATATACATATATATATATGCATGTTTTTAACTGCAGTTGTGGCATTACTCGCCGATTTTTATCCTTTTTATCACTCTATACATCCTCTTGCCTCTCCTAGACGCGTTTTAATATTTGTAGTTTTGTTCTGTGCTGAAGGTTGTTCAAAATATGCGCACCTTTGTCTAACAGTTCTGGTAATATTGCCAGAAAGCACCAATTTTTATGTTTAGCCAACCAAATGTTTATTTTTATGCCTGCATGCCTATATTTACATGCGCCAGTGTGCAGTTTTAGCTCACAATCTCTTTATTATTAGCAATTTCTTGTTTTTTTTCGCTTTCGTTTCTTCTTGCCATTTTTCTATATTTATTCGCTCGTTGCTGCTCATTGCACACATGACTTGCTTCATAATTTCCACAGTTGTGGTTGCAAAATTTATATATGGCAATATTTATTCAGATATTACAGACAATTACATACTCGCACACATATACAGTTATGCACAAGAAGCGTTCTTTTCACACATTTATTATTTTCAAAGCACTTTATGCTCACATTGACGTAAACAAATGGGCGAATAATATTTTATATATATAATTCTTCTTCTTTATTATTTTCTAACGTTATGGCAATTTCCGGGGGGATCATGTGAGGTGGCGTAACATTTCGAGATCTGCATTAGACTATGTAATTGAAACTCACACCAATTTACACCGCCATCTCGAAAACTTCAAAGCAAAAGAGCCTTTATTCCAATGCTTGATTCATTCATTGTCTTCCCAAGTTAGTCTCATAGTCTCTTCGATGTCTCATTATGGCGTTGAAACATCTAAACCTTGGATGGCCCAACAGTTCAGTAAATGAGGCATGTCTGCCATAACTATGCTTTTTACCGCCCTATGCTTAAGAAATAGTAACTCCACAAAAACATCTTCCTAACCCTTGAAGCTCAAGCTTCTTCACCAAAGTTTCCGTCATAAATCTGAACAATTCCTGACAGCCAGTAATTCAAGTCCATTAGCATCTCCTTGTCAGAGCACTTAGCCTCACATTTATACCAAACATTATTTGACTATAAGTAATTCATATTATTTCCAGCGTCAGTCTCAACTTAATCACCACTTTGTCTCCCATCCAATTTATGTAACTAAGCTCACAATTTTGTCTCACACTCAGGCATTCAAATTAATTTAGTTATTACGAAAGACTTACCGATCAAAAACCGAAACCATGCATACAATTGCCAAACAATAGAATGTATTCAGATAGATCTCAGCGAATGTTGCATAATCTCTCACGAAGCTGAAATGTTGCTGCGTTTCAGTTAACATAGATTTATCAACACCACCACCGCCATCAGCATCCAGCATGGCTGACTCGACTGTTGGTGATGCGGTTGTTGCGTCCGCCTCCTGTGTCGCTTGGGTCACAGTCTCGCCCGCAAGACTGAGTAAACGCGACCAATCGACGGGATGGCTGCTCAACACGAACAACAAATGTGCCAAAGCTAGGCCGGCTAGCAAACCATGGCAGATATTCGAGATGAGTAACCAAATTCGTTGAATGACGCAGGCCAATTGTATGTTCGACGTGATCTCACGACGATGCCTGAAATAGAAAAAGAAAACAAAGTAAGAACACAAATTGTAATGAGATAAAGTTTAACTTGCATGTAAGGACTATAAAGAAAGCTGTTGGGAGATGGTAAAGGAATAAAAAATAGGCAATTGGCTTTTATGACCGAAATATAAATATTTGTTAAGAAAAAACGGCAATACACACTGAGAAGTTGTTGTTGAAGTGGGTTGCAGTGCAGGGTATTTTATGTGAGTGCTTGAAGATATGTTTGTACTTTAAATCTTTGCCGATTGCGGGGGATTTTGTATAGTTATAATCTTTGTGTAAATCCAGCTCTCTCAATACTAGCGAGAGCGAACTACGAACTGGTTTCATTCACTGTTAAGTTTAAAATACCAGAGGCGCATCTACTGACAGAGCTAAGTATCTACAAAATCGGGGAAAGAGCACATAAGACAGAGTTGCGTATCTAGAACTCATCCTAGATAAGAAACTCTCGGGAAAACTCGACATCGAAGAAAGAGCAAGAAAGGCATCGGTGCTTTGTACTGTTGCAAGCAGCATAGTGAGTCATGCCTAAAATGATGTACTCGCAAAAAATTGCCGGGGAGGGTTGATGAAGAAACTGAAAGGCCGATGAGCTCACTAGAACCGGACCGTTGGACCTCAGACCAAATCAACAAGCGCTCGTCGGTAAGTATTCAAAAACAGCAATATCAGAATATCGTAACAAATAAGAGAGGCAATCAAGCACAATCCTGCTCTCAACCACGACAGCAAAGCGAACAAATCGAACGCCCACTAACTACCGTTATTTTCAGTAGACAACAAATATCAACTTCACGCGCTGAGATGGCCATTGTGTCGACAGCAGCATGTCTGGCCGCGTAGGCGTATATTCGCAACAAACACACACGTCGGCCAAATCGAATCAGCAAGGAGGTTTCCCACACGCTAAGGTCATTAGGAAACTTGCGCCGACACGCAACACATAAAAACCGACGACCTACAACGCAGCACTGTCGTCACGTAACGCTGCGTGTGTGTATGTGTGTGGGTGTGCGAGCGCAGTGCTTGTAATTTAGCGTGAGCGTAAGCGTTTTTCGTCGCAAATTTTGGTTATTTCGCAAATGAGACACAACAAATACGACAAAGCTTATGTATATATACTAGCAAAGTATATAACACACACCCACACTTGCAAGCCCATAAGTCGAACGATTGTGCGTTTTGTGTACATTTTTATAGAATTTGCGTCGCTTTTTCAGTATCAGAGTCTAAAAATAGCTGGCAGCTTTTCGCAGCGGCTGCCAGAAATAAACTCGGCTGAATTCATGCAACACAAGAACACACACCTTTTGCTACGCACTTTAGCTGTGCTGATGCCTACAAGTATGCTATGTGATTTGCATTTTTTTTTTTTTTGTTGTTATTAATAAAGAATATTGCGAAGTCAAGAAAAGGTGTGTAAGCATGGAATTTTCTACAAATTGTCTAAATATAGCGGTACAAGCGAAGCCCTGAAGCTGTGCACTTGCTGTATAAGTGTGAGTTTGGCACTGTGTGTGTGCTTGTAAAACCTAAAAAGTACAGTTTACAATGTAAGTGAACTCTGATACAACAAAACTGCTACTGAAAAGCTTAGCTAACAAAGATGCTGAATTATCATCATTCAAGGCCTAGTTAAAAAAAAAAAAACTTCTACACCTAAGTATTGAAATAATTAATAAAACTTAATAAAGGAAGCATTTATGATATATAAAATGAGTGAATTATGAATTAAGTTACGTTGACAGTCCTTAATTGGGATTATATCTATGTAAGCTGACAGCAAAACTAAATTCAAATGTGCCTAGCTGAGGTTGCGTATACGCCATGACAACTAGTTATAAATTCAAAGGCACCTAGCTGAGGTTACGTATATTTAACTGTCAATTGTCGTCGCAAATATATTTATAAACTATAAACTCACCTAACAAAAACCAATATATTTTTACCGCCCGAAGTAAAACTTAAAATTGAACGTCAAGAAACTCGCCCCTCGCCTTCATTCTCATGACATTTGCTAACAATAACTTATCGCCACAGATTTATTCTGCAGCCACACAAATAACACACCAACCGCATTCTAAATTCCGTTGTTCTTTTCCATATCGCACTCACCTGCCACACTCGGCATCGAGTAGGCAACGCGTATCGCCGAAACTGCTACTCGCCCGCAACATGCCCGCCTGCTCCAAACCGCCAGCCAAGCTGCCGCCCGCGGCAGACAAACGATGCATGCCACCGCCACCACCTGGGCCACCACTACCGCTGGCAGCAGCGCTACCGCCGCCCACACCGCCCACACCCACAAACGAATGTTTATAATAGCAGTGCTCAACTGGTCGATATCCCGATGACGTCTGCAGGAACATTTTGTCAATGTGTGCGGGCGTATCCTCGGTGGGGGAGACAACCGGTGTGAATGGATTGTAGATTTCCTCACCCTCCGCGGGTACAATGTCATCGGAAAGCTCACGTAATATGGAGGTGAGACCACCAGCTGAGTAAAGTTTGCCTGCAAAGCAGAGAGATACAGATAAATAAATGGCGAGAAAGAGAGTACTTTTAAGTATGAGTAAAAAGAGAGTATATGCACCGAGGGGTATATATTGTGTGTGCTAAGAGAAAATTGCAACAAAATTTGTTTTGAAAATGATGAAAAAAACCTAATCTTCTACCTAAAAATCGGGATCTTATATGACCTCCAATGTTCATATTAGATAATCAGGCAGTTGCCAAAACGACTCAGGCCCCTTAGTTAAAAAAAATATTATTACATATTGTCGGGTCTTATTTTCAACACAAAACTATAAGAAAATAAAGTTCTCAAACTTAGTAATACTGATACAAGGATTGGGAGCTAAAATTCTCCCAAATAAAATACAAAATCGGTTTCATCGTCCAGAGAACATTGTCTAGAATATGTAATATTCTATTACGTGTGAGTTTCACAGGAAATTCCATGCGACAAGTGGCGCTCTTACATCATATGGTATGCTCTTCAGCAGCAAATGGAGTGATTTATATAGTTAACTAGAATGGAAGCTTTTGGATTTCTTTTATTCAAAGCTTCTTTGTTATTTTCTCGTGTCTTTAAGAAGCTGATGCAATTTAACTGATGGCAGAAATACACTCTTTCACTTATAAGCGGAGGGCAGAGGAAGTAGTGGGAAATGGTTTACTGAGCGCTACCTTCCTACAAGCTACAAATTGTGAGGCTAATAATAGATTTGTAATATACCGTGCAAGAAATAGTGAATACACGCGCATACAAGAACACTGAGTCCCCAAACTACACATTGCTTAGTAGTTGGACTTCCGCAGCGAATACTCACTTATAAGATGCCCACGCTTATCACGTTGCGATTTCGTCTTCCGATGCACTCTCCGCTCATCATAGTTCTGATCGATTTCCAACTCGCCTGACAACGAAGCGTCATTCATTTCCGAACATTGCTTCAAATAGCGCATCAAAGTCTCGTTCGCCTGTCGTACTTCCAGCTCACCAGCGGCGATGAGTTTGCGTTCACGCCGCCTACGTGATTCCGATTTGCTACGCTTACGACGCGGACTCTTCTCCAGACTACTGCGCGAACGTACCGAACGTTGGGCGGGACTCGCCTGTGGATCGGACAGCGACTGCAACTTACGTACTGTACCGCTACTACCAGCACCACCACCACCACCACCGCCGCTTGCTGCACTACCACTACCCACACTCAGTGCCGATGGCGTTGGCGAACTGTGCTTCAACTCACGATCCATGAAGCCCAATATACCGCGATGAAACGAAGCATCCACCTCTTGTGTGCGCCGCGCCGGCGATTGTGGTGAATGTGTGCGCCGATGGCGGTGTCCGTGTGTCACCGTAGGCGGTAGCTGTTGCAGCGTTTCACGTAAACTCAACGCATCACCAGAAGAGTTACGACTGCTGCCCGCACCGCCGCCATTAGGATTCGGTGCTGTGGGTGACTCCAGTTGCGTGGCACCCTCTTCTTTCGACGCCACACCGCCAACGTCCACAGCGTTTTCACCGTTTGCAGCGGGCGCCTGCTCTTCGTCCTCTTGCGGCGGCGGTGAATGTCCATTCACCAGCAGCACAGTTTGTTGTGATGTGGTCGACTGACTTAAAGAGGTTGTCTGGCCCAACGGATCCAGCGTGTCCATGGAGTGTGAACGTCGTTCATGCACTGTGCTGACAATCACATTGGCGCAGATAGCTGTTGTCTCGTCGTACGTGCCATCCTCGTTGCCGTCCTCAACAACCAGTGCGGTTGGTATCTCAATGCTTGTGATTGAAGTTCGTCGAGCAGCGGTGGTAGCGGTGGCGTTAGCGGCTAAGTCCTGTGCACCGGTTTGTACGCGATTAGACCGCGCTTGACCACGACGCTCACGCACTGGCGATTGAATAGCGTTTGAATGCGTTTGCTGTTGTGTTGGCGACTGTTGCAGCTGCTCTGCTGGTGCGTCGTGCTGCGTCCTCGTCCTCGACGCGACTGTCGCGCTTGTCGTTGTGTTAGTTAACGTATCCGCTGCTTGTGTTGGTGTTGGCACTATCGTCGTCGCCGTTGTTGTTGTTGCAATATTATTGCTCTGTCTCGGCTGTTGTCCGCTACGAGTGCCGCTGCCGCTGCCGCCATTGGCATTGTTGCTGTTATTACTATTATTACTGTCGCTGCTGCTATTTTGGCTCTGACGCTCGTGCCGATGATGACGCGAATCCGAACGTCGGTGACGATGACGATGCACCTTCGGGGTGGCTTCCATCTTCCAGCAGTGGCGCTGGCACTGGCGACGCGATGCAAAATTTCGTTCAGTTACAACCTACACAAAATGCTTGGTTGGCGCTTGCGTCTAGGTCGCTGTTAAACTGCACTGTTATTACGGTTTAGCGGGTTGTGGTTTCTGATATTTTTTTGCTATTTTCGTAAGCGCGCGTATGCTTTAAATTTGAAAATGCGAAGCTTTCAGTGTGGAAACAGCTGCTCGGGTTCTTTTCAAATAGTTTTTGCTGCCTTTGCAGTTTCTTGTGCTGGCTTTTGCTTTTGACGTTTTGTTGTTGTTGCTTATATTGAAACAATGTTTTCTGTTGGGTTTTCTTTCAGCGTTTGTTGAAATAAGCAATTTCGGTGCATTAACGGTGAAGTTCCTGTTCAATGCTTTGTAAGCTCAGCCAGCGCTTTAATATTTTACAAATTTCTTTGTGTTAGTTGTTGTTCTTTTTTAAGGTACTATTTATTGTTGCTTTTAGAATTTTTGTTTTTGAAATTTTTTTGGTATTTTTCTGCGTGCAAGGCAGCTTCGTCCTTCAATTTTATACGCCAAAATTCTAGTTGTTGGAATGTTTTCGAAAACTCTGCACTATTTGCATTTCACACGCACTTTTTTTCAAAATTTAATTTTCAATTTTAGAATCAACGATTTTCACTTGCATTACTGTTGTTGTGTTGCTTGCCTGTTTGCATTTTTACTTATAATTATTTACAATAAACAAATATGCATTACTTAAGTTGCAAATTTTATTGCTGTTGTTGCTATTTTACTTAAATTTTCTATTTTCTCATTGACCCACAAAAAATCGAATTCAATCGAAACGCTCGTCAAGCTGCTTTGTAGTGCCCTGCTGCGCTGCGGGCCATCAGTAACGCGTTACGGCCGTTTCCTTGCCTCTGCTTCGTCTTCTTCGTCGCCTTCTTGTGCGCTTGTTGTGCTTATTGTTGCACTGCCACGCGCCTACTTCCACTACTTATTGATTTTATGTTTAATTAAGTTCTGACGTTTCATTTAACTGTCAGTTCGCGCTTTTATCGCTCAATCAACGCGAGCGTATCCGTGCTGCGTGTGTTTGTTGTTAGCTGCAATTGTTGTAGGATTTACTTCCTGTGCAAAATACTAATATTACATTCGCACTCGTACTTTGCTATTCCTTGCTTCACATGTATGCTGTATTTTTACGTTTTTCGCCAATTCTTTGGTTTCGTGTCGTGGTCCAGTTCGTTTTGACCTAAATAGCATTTCTGAGTAAGCAATATATTTAGTATTTCAAATGTACAAACACCTTGTTATTGCCTACCAAGCTATCTGTTTTCAGTTCATAGATTTATCCTTCGTTCCCAAATCCTAAATACTAGAGCTGATATCTGTGCTCCAATTAAATCTAAAAATGTATATTTATTCACTCCCTCAACTTTATATATGCTTTCAGTTTCACTTTAATCGTGCTTCTTCTTGCTCACAACACTGTTTGGTATTTACTTCCTACTGACTTTGTCACAACAAAGCACACAAACACTACATAACACTTCACAATTGACAAGCGTTTCACAGTACGAGCGTGTTTCTCGCGACGCGTTCGCTCGCGTTCACGGCTACTAAGCGACTGACTTGGCTAAGCATTACTTGCTACCCAAATTGGCTGTTGTTAAAGGTTTTCTCTGGAACAGCAGGCTTTCATGTCTGCGCTTGTGGACTGCCTGCTGCCATGGACAGTTTGAACTAGCGTTCCGTTTACTTGCTCTGCCAGACCACTCTCTCTCTCTCCCTTCACACGATGGTGTTTGTTTTTGTTGTAGTCAAAGCTTTATGATGACGTCAGCAGTGCTTATCGCTGCCAAAGCAGTCAACCGACCACAACCTTAGCGAGTGCACACTGTTTTTGGGTAGTAAATGGGTAGGTGGGTGTGCGGATGGGTCGTCGTGGGCATACGTTGGGGGTGGAATTGTAAAAATGTCAATGCTTACAACTACGAGTAATACATTCACTGGTTGCGGAAGAACAACGACAAACCGCTCTTTATAAACAGTTCATATACTAAGGTTAGACACAAACGTCTCTTACATGTTCGCATTAACTCGCATAAATTGTTACAGCACTCCTGCATATAATCGTATAAATACGCATATACTCGTATTAATACTCATATAGAGCATATAGTATAAACTCGCATACGCTCGTATAAAAAGTCTTGTGAAACTGGTATAAACTCTCATAAAACCTTACAGACCAACATATAATCATATAAGCTCGCACTTACTCATATATACCCACATTTAATCGTTTAAGCCTGCATATACTCGCATAAATCCTTATACAGTACTCGTATATACTCGCATGAATTCGTACAACCTCGCACGAAATCTTAAAACCCCGCATATAATCGTATAAATTTGCATATATTCTCACAAACCCACACATAATCGAATAAACTCGTATAAGTTCATACAAAATCGGAAAAACTTACAAAAATTCATACCAACTCGGAAATGTTCGTATATACGGGCATACAGTACTGATATAAACTCGCATAAATTCGTACAAACTCTCATATACTCGTATAAATTCGCATATACTCGCCTAGTGCTTTGTCCATCATTTGCTTAGTGTAAAATTTCATTTTTTTGCTATATTTGCTTTGCCTCCATAATCCACCCTTTACTCTTCACCCCACTGTGCGCTTAGCCTAACTTTACTCTAAGCTATTATGTTTCCTCTCTTCCGTTTTCATATTGTATGCGTCCAAATAACTATTTACCCAAGTGATTTACAATTGTTACTCTCTTGATTGTTGTCATTTTGGTGTTTTTACAATCCTACACATAAAACGCCTTTTTCACATTCGTTTTTCTCGCATTTGTGTGGGAGCAATTTCGGTAATTACTCCCAAGCTTTCACGACTTACTTTATTTGTACGAGTATAAGTTGCGCTTGTGTTGTTGAACACTTTAAGGATAAGTGCTATTTTTAGCTCAATTGCTTTCCCATTCGTAGAAGTCCGAATAAATTTACACAGAAAAAAAATAACAAATTATTATATTAATTTCCTTTGAACATATTTAACAATATGTCAAGCCTTAACATTTCAAATAGTAAGACGAATAGTAGGAATAGTAATTCTACTACATTCCCACCTTTCGAATTAAATGAAAGTGATCTTATCAAGCATATAACAGTAATAATCTAAGGACTGTTTCGCTAAAGTCTGACCCTAACAAATCTACCTAACCGTGCAGATCAGTTTTGGTTCTTTGCGACACCAGATGGAGATCAGTTACAGGGTCGAAGAGGAGTATTCATCCTTTAGAATGCCAGCGCTTAACGCAAATTTTAACAGACCAAATCTGAAAAAATCGAAAACTCTGACAAATCTTGAAGACCGTAGGGCACTTAGCGTTATCCAGGAGCATCGTTAGAAGTGACCTGCCTTAAAGACAATCGGGTCTAAGTAAACGAAACGAGACCAGGTTTTTAGCCAGCTAAGGACTGTAAACTCGGCACCATTCCTTGAAATTACTGCTGGATTGTTTTCTACCACAATAGCAACAACCACCTGCCTTACAACCCTAAAAATACCAAATACTATACATTAGACAAAAGCAAACAGCCTCCATTACTGCGGTTACGCGCCGTGTATTAATGTGTTTATATACTAGTTATCTTTGCTTACAATTTCCAAATATTTTCGCATATTTTTTCCACTTTTTTCGCCATCTTCTGTCGTCACCGTGCGCACTTAATTCTATGACGTGCTCGGTGCGAAGTAAAAACTATGGAGCCTAGGGTAGGAATACTCAATATTTTTTGCGCTCTTTAAGCGCTACACGTACTCTTTAGCAGCTGGCGCTCAAACGCTCGCAGCTTTTAACGATTTCGAAAACTGGTTGAGGCGCATGGTTTCTAATAACTGTTATTTTTTCGTTCTTTTACACTGCTCACAGCAAAACAATAGAAAAGACAGCAACATAAGTTGGCAGTGCGCATGTAGCGCACATTTTTGCATGATGACGTCAATCGGAAAAGCTCAGGATATAATAAATCAACAAATCCGCTCAGCAAAGAAAAACAACATAACTGCAAAACCTCCCAAATATGTATGTATGTATAAACAAGACGCTGGCAAAAGCAAAACCAAGCACAGATAAGACTAGATACCAGGCTAGCTGGCAGGCGTTATAAACATGGAAAAGCCGGCAGCAGTAAGTTCAACAATAACAATAGCACACGGCCACACAACAGCTACACATGCTGCACATTTGTGTTTTCCGTTATAGTTTTGTTTTCGGTGAAAAATAAATAAATGTATTTACTGCTGACTGGTTTGGGTGCTTGAGCAACAAAGTGAGCATGCAGTCGCCGCCACAATTGACAACGCGTCAGAACAATAACACATAACACAACGCGCGCTGGAGGGCTGCTGATGAAGGCAGCTTAGCGAGACGTGGGTGGCTGCCGCATATATATGTAGATATACTATTTGGCCAGCAGTGGGCGTAGGGACGGCATGTATCTCTGCGCGTTTATTTTTGCTGTTTCGGTTTCGCTGTTGGCAGCATTTATGCTAACAAAAAGTAGCCGCGACTGTATTTAATTGCTTTTAAGACATTTTCAAAAGGTCAACAACGCCAACGCAAGTTTTTGGGATGCCGTTGGAAAGGAAATAAACCAAGAGGGGCAACCAAGAGAGGGCACGCGGCTGTTAGCATCTTAGCGATGCAGGCAAAAAATGGAAAACAGTTTCTAAACTTATGCAAAGGTCAAACTGACATATATACATATATAATATATATAGCAGCGCATCCCCCAGACACGTACTGAATACTTCGTACACCACACCACTAAAGCACATAAAACTCAGTGTTTATGAAGTCACGCCGCGTCCGCGACGTGCGAACCAACACAAAGTAAAAAAAAAAGTCAAGTGTGAAAAATGTACGATTTTATATTACACTTGATGTCATCAACGCAAAGTGTATGCCAAACAATTTCGCCACAGATTTATTAGATCCGTTTGCCGCGCCGGCTTCCCAGAGAAGCTGTTTGCTGTGCGCTGCGTTGGCTGTGTCACGCAATTTTCGACGGCGGTCCTTTGTAGCCAGCCAGCCAACCCGTGCGCTGCGGGTCAAGCGCGTCTGTGCCAACTAAATAATCACTACTCGTTGGGCGCACGCATTTGTTGTGACGTCACACGCATTAACAACAGGCAGCAGCTCATTGACACACTCACACACGCGCAGCGTACGTTGGATGCCTGCAAACAAAACGCTGACGTCAGTGGAGCGCATATTGCGTCCCAAAGGCAACTGCGGCTAAAGCCCGCATTTGTCGCAAGGCAAAACACACAGCAAATCAGAAGCTGAAGCAGCAGCATATTAGCAAAAAGTATGAAAAAAATGGTAAAAGGTACACTCAGCATGTTATAAAAAGCCTGAATGCTTGAGTGCCTCAAGGCAGTGAAATGGCTGGTGTAAAAGTTGTTCAAATGTGTCAAAGACAATGCGCTTGACACACGCAAAAAGTACTAAACAAAACAAAAACAAAAAAAAATACAATAAAGAAATCGCTTGTGACACCAAAATGTTGGCATTGTATTGTTTTATGCAAGAATTGTGCTAAAAGGCTGCAGAAAAAATGAGGCCAAATGGTAAGTGGAAATCACTAGTAAAAGATGTGGCCACCGCTCCTCTTTAAAATGGTTCGAGCCAAATGTTACCATTTTGAATTTAAGGAAGCATTCAGATTCCATGTGGCCTCTCTCTCTCTCCCCCCCCAAGCTTCTTAAAGCTCCATTTGCCATTTTGCGTTTAAGTAATCTTTCAAATCCCATATCTCTCTCTATCACTCTCTCTCCAAGCTTCTTCGAACTCCATTTTATTGTTGTAGTCGCTTTTTAACACTATATTAACGAACGCCAAGTAAAAATTATTCAGTCAAACGACCCTCCTCTTTAAAGTGGTAAAAACCCCCTCCCAACCAAGCTTTACCATTTTGAGTTTAAGAAGTCAGTCAGATCTGATATTCTCTCTATCACTCAAACAAAATTTTACAATTAAGAGTTAACGGAATCATTCAGATTCCTTATGCTCTCTCTCTCTCTCTTTCTTGCTCTCCAAGCTCCTTAAAACTCCATTCCGAAACAACAGACGAAATAGTCAATAAAAAGATCTGCCATAAAACTGATTTTCTTGGACGATTTCATCTGCCACCATGCTTTTTAAACGAGATACCTCCAATTCCACCACAAGTACGTGATGGTTTTCGATAATAATCCTGTATATTTGTGTTCGAAATGGTGAAAATATATATTTTCATTTTCATAAAAAGATATACACCAAATAATTTCCGTCAATACAAAACACATTTAGTCATTACTATCACTAGATAACAGTTGCGGTAAAGCAGATAGACGATTTTCCGAACTCTCATGCTCCAAAGGAGAATGAAGAGATGAATTCGATGAGGAACTATGTGACGACGTGGTCCAAGCTTGGCGACGCTGACCCCGATTACGACGCACCAAACTAAGAACCGAGCCCACTACTGGCGCGCCCATGGAGAGTGAGCTGCGGCGTAACTCGGCTGTGAGGGCGACTATATTTAACAAAAACGTAATAATTAAAAGTATTCAGAAATATATTGACTGCTACAACACTACCTGAGGCCGGTCTTGGCGACTGCACGGAAACGTTCCCTTCAATCGCTGCAAGCTGCGGAGCCGTTGCAGGCCTATGCGTCAGGCCAGGCACAAGCGGCAACGACGACGCGTTCGATTCGGCACGTGAAGAGTCAGAGTACAACTCACTCGAAAGCGATGAAACCTCGCCATCTGTTGAAGAGTTGCCGCCAGCTGCTTCAATGGTTACTGTAGCTTGTGCGACCACAGACGATGTGCCCAGCGGTACACCATCCAATACACGCAATGTGGGCACGCTGCGTTGCAATGTGCTGCGATAGAGTGGATTGTGTATGACGGAATTTCCTTGCAACTCTAATTCCAACAAATTAGGGCAAAGCCCCAAGAAAGTGAGTAAGCCCAAATCACTGATGCGGTTATTTCGCACACTCAGTCTCTGCAGTAACACCAAATCGGTAAGCGGGTCCACACGCTGTATCATGTTGCCATCAGCAATGATTACACGCACAGCCGGCAGTCCACTAGTGCCGTCAAAACTATTCAGTCCACAATTACTCACATTCAAATAGCTGACGTGTAGGAGGCCATAACCGAGATCACGCAACGAGCAAAGCACACTGCCGCTCAAATCGAGATGCTGTAGGCGTGGCAGAAAGAGCGGCAAGCTGGCCAAACTGATGCTATAAGAGATGACGCGTAGGCGTACAGTGTCTACATTATGCAAATCATTGCGACCGGTGACACGACGCTGTATATTTAGAAATATAATAAATAAATGAAAATTACAACGACAATCCTACGACTACGCACCAGCAATTCATCTAATGACGGCTCGGGCAGCTGCGGTGGCAAGTTTATCGGTAGTAACTGCACGACCGGCACCACTGGCCAGTAGTTCTCCTCCTCCAATAGCGCCAATTCGCGGTCAAACTCGCTGAAGCGTTGCAATGGACGCACACGCACCGGATTCGGACTCAACGCAGGCAGTCGTCGTGCAGGCGCTTGCGTTGGTTGCTGGCCCGGTGGCTGTACACGGATTTCTACAGCGCCAGCTGGCAACGGCTGCATGGGTGCGCCCACTGTGGGCACATCAGCAGCCGCTTCGGCAGAGTAGGAATTCTCCGGTGAAGATTCATCGTAGCCAATGGGTGCCTCCAAATTGGGCATTATTGTATGAGAATGCTGTGAAACCGATTCGTCGCAACATTTATGTGGCACTGAGAAATTGCAATATTTTCGGCTTATCGATCAAACTTGCGGCTGAGTATTGATGTTGGCAAGGACAATCACAGTATATGGAGGGCATTATGAAGAAAGTAAACAAATAAAGCAGAAGCGGCGTGTTTGTAAACAAAGTAGTGTGGTAAGTAAGTAAAACTTTTATAAAAATAAATATATGATAAATAGTAAGCAATCAGTAATTGATTACTTGTGAATTCACCTCACTTTAATTTCATTATCTGGTGTCTTGTGGCCTAATTAAGCAGCTCATAGTTATTATAGCCACATAGATTAACTAAGGTTTGATTAAGAGGTCGATCATAGCAGATTTCTCACATGGACAGCTTAGAGACCCTGTCCATTATTACACACAAAACTTCTGTAAAATAGGTCATAGCATCTTGACAAATTGAGAAAGCGCTTTGATCCTATCACCTATTTGTTGAGCCTGCTAATATCAGTCTCTTAGTTCGCCGAAGGTATTGTAAGACTGTATTTCAACCTCCATCGTCCAAGCGCTGTACAAGTTTCCAACTCATTCTTCTCCTGCCAGATATATAAGATAAATTTAATAAAATTTTAATGGCAAACAGAAAAAAGGCGTCTATAACATTCAATACTCACATGATTTCTTGAAAATTTTCCCAAAATACACGTACGCGTATTTACAGTCATCACTCGCATAATCTAGCAGATCGCTTGTTACACTTGCCGATTACAAATATTTTATGTAAATAAGCACAATTTCGACGCATTAAGAGATATCAATTAGCACTTCTGAATTGGCAGGACATGTATTTACAAATGATTGATGACTACCCGCTAGGAAATTGAAACTCAAAAAAGGTTATTATTTGAAGTCCGTAAAAATTATCAAAAATTGAGCAGAGCGAGATGTGGATATCAAATTTTAGCTTTTTTAACTTCATAGTTATACATTTCAGCGCACATAACAATCAATCATAACATTCTACAAGTAGGCTCATACAATTTTTTGTTTTCAATAAGAGTTGAAAAGTAGTCAAACCAGAAAAAAGCATACATATGTATATATGATTATATTTAGCGATAAATATTTAGAATATTGAAAAACTTAGTATATACTACCTTTTGCCTTCAGTCCGAATCTCAAACGAAGCATGTAACTCTCTTCAACTAACCCTAAGCATACTGTCTTAATGCCCTACTGGGTTACGATGAGTACAAGTGTGAACTCGAGGCTAGTTCTGTAATAATTACGCACATGTGTACCCACAAAACAATCGACAACTAATACCAAAATAGCACTTTGTTTAAATACAATACAGTTAGTTGAACGCCCACAAGTGCATTAGGAAATTTCGTGGGCGTTTTTAGTGGACAACCCTCTACATCAAGTTGCTGCATATTACCGATTTTACGCAATGTGATTAGTTTCATGTAAATATAGCATGTTTGGACAAAAGTCGATAATATTATATTCTTTGATTGATTTATCGCAGTGATTTAGATAATTTTTGGGAGATTTCGCTGTGCTTTTCCGTTCTTCCATTTATTGCGTGACGCCATTGCTTCCGTTATTCACCCATGCGTTTCGAGTCGAAGGCGCATTTCGCTGAAGCATCATCTTCCATGCGAACAACATGGAGCCACCTGAGCTTAGCATAACCATGCCAGCGTAGGGTTCATACAGTTCGTGGTTCCATGCTCTCTCTCTCTCTCTCTCGAATGCTGCAAATGATTTCTCCTCCCGGGTCATCATCGTCCATCTTTGTGCACCGTATTATAGAATAGGAGTGTAATTTTTGTTCATCATTTGCCTACCGATCCCAAAGTAGCACCTGTAGGCAAAGTTATTCTGCGCTTCATCTCCAGGCTTAGATTATTAGTAGAATTTATGCTGTTTCCGAGATATACAAAGTCCCTAAGTTTTTCAAATGTATAGTGCCAACGGTGACGTAGTTCCCAAGACGTAAAGAATGTTTTTGTGCCGCCTTCAGGCGTTTTGCCTTGCCAACGTACGGCTACACAGAGTAATTTTGGATCTTTATTACGACAAGAATTATTTTGGTTCATTAAAAATTTATTGAATTTTTGTGCAAATATATATTAAAATTTATTGCTCATTACGTCATTATATAATTTAAGATGTGATTTGTTGGTGTGTAACCTTTTGTGTTGGAAAATAAAAATCTAAAATGTATCGACTAAAAAAACTTTATACCAACAACTACGAAAGTATGAGTAACAATTTACGACGAAAATATTTGTAAAATTTGATTTAACAAAGTAAATTCAACACTAAAGTGTTCACTAGGCCTTCCTGCTGCAGGCAAGGACTTAGTTGAGCATACGTGATATTCTCCACACACTTATTTTGACCAACAATTTTACTACCACACACCGGATTTAATAGCGTTTACTCCGTGTAGGTATACTGAAAGAGCGCCGCTGAGGGTGCACGCACCGGCACCAATTGGCTCTGTCCGTTCGGATTGCGGAAAACCATATAATCACGACCGTTAATCAAACGTCGTACACCACCCGCCCCACTACCTTCATGCAGCTGACCATTGCCCAGCAATACACCAGCACCGCTCCCAGTACCAACCGCTAAGGTGCCGAAATTCGAGCCTCCGGCGCCAAATTGGCCAGCGCGTCGCCAACGATGCAAGCTGCTTTCCTTACTCAAATGACTTGCCTCATCCTGTTGGTGTTGGTGTCGATGATTGCTGCTGAAAATACTTTGATACGGTGGCGGTGGTGTAATGGTCGAACCCGAGGGTGAAGCAGTCAGACGTTGCTTGTCGCTATCCGTCTCCAATTGACGCAGCCAACGCGGTGCACGTACCGAGAGTCCATTTGTAGTGCGTCCGATGCCGTGACGCGCCCACTTGCTACCCTCATTACGTTGATTCAGGTAGCGGAATATAAGCTCGGTGAAGAAAACAACCATGGCGGTGACAAAGCCGGCGAACATAATGTAGTAGGTCATCATGAGATCGGTGTTGCGTAGCTGACGCTCGGTACCGGCCAAGTTCTGTGGGCATATTTCGGCATTTGGCAGATCTTTAGTCGACAAGTACTTAATAATGCCGGATTCCACGAGGTTGAGTAGTCTGAAATATGATAAGGTAAAAGGGTTGGCATTTATTTACGAAACCAACAACCGCATTTCCTAGTTAAGTACAAAAAGACTCTGTTGAGAAATACAACTTCCAAGGACTTTAGTATAGCCTTCTTGCGAAAGCAAATTTTTCTCATTATCGTCGAGCTCACACTTTACGGGAAGTTTTGTATTTAATAATATTAGATTTCAACTTACTTGGGATCGAAGAGCTCACTCAAATTGGAGCCCAACGGATAGGCGAATGAACGATTCTTCTTCAAAAACGGCTCCTTAGCCATGGCGAATGGACAGTGTAGCTTCTCATCATTCATGCTAATGGTTTTGCGATAGCGATAGTCTGCATAAAGTACATGATTAATAGCCGGGCGGTCGCGTACGAATACATAACCATCCTTTTCAACAAAATTCTGCAAATTAAAGGTGTCGTTCGAGCTGCTCGAGAATACGGCGTGGTTGTTGCGTATCATATTTGTCAGCATGGATAGGCTTTCGTTGGTCTGGAATGGTTGAGAAGTTGAAAAATATAAATAAAATTAAAAATTTATTATTTATATATATATTATATATTTATATATATTAATTTATATATATTTTATAATTATAATACTATATAATGCCTGTAGATATATGATTTAACTCGGCCTTTGGTACATGCATTTTATAGTATTTTAATTACTTTTTTATATTATTTTAATTACTCTGCATGCAATAATTAATTCATTGCTGACTTTGTACTTAAATTTTTATTTATAAAAAGTGTTTTTAATTACACACACACATATATGTACATCTACACTTACATTCCTTATCGCATATTCCACGCCGCCGCCGCGTGCCGAAACAAAGTGTTTATTCTTATATAGTATATCGCTAACGGTATTATAGGGTAAAGTAAATTTAGATAGCGTGAGAAAAGCTGTTAAATTTGCGGTGTAGAATGAAGTCAATATCGTAATGAATATCCACCAGGTGGCAAAGAGTAGGCGTGTTGAATCTGCAGCGTAGAAATATAAAAAATATAAATAAAATATACATTTTTTATATGAGTACATATGTTTGTTGTTGTATTTATATTTAGCAAATATTTAAATATATGTTTATTATTGTATTTATATTTGACAAATATTACAATAATTAATTTGTGTGTGTAAAATAAATTATCTTGTTTCGATGCACTCTAAGCGCGCTTAAATATTTGCTGTGCTGATGGTAATTTGTTAAAATTACTATAATTGATATTTTCACTGAACTCGATGTCAGTAATATGATTTATAAGTTCTGTAATAATTATTCAATCTCTTGCTTATAGAACCAATCAACAAAGCGTTTGCAACTACGGCTTTTTTATCATAAGTAAGGCAGTTTTACTTGTGTGCACCGGAGCGTATGAGTAGCATTTTATTCAGTATTTTTGGCGGTCGGGCTTGCGAAGGCAGCAAACAAAAGAGGCTACTTAACAGCCAACTTTAAAAACCAAAAAATTAAAAAAAATTAAATCACATGAAACATGTTCACTTACCCGCGATCGGCGACAGTGTACTGCCCTGCTTCATCAATGCACCATACACAAACCAGGCACAATGACCCAGCGAGTAAGGCTTCTGCTCCTTATCACCAGTCAAACGATTACGCAATATGATGAGCATATAAATAATTGGTCCAACCGCCAAAAGTGAAATGAAAATTAAGATCCAAACCCAAAAATCAAATGGTGCCATCAGACCCGAACCAGTGGCCGATTCACGTGGACGTTGCATCACCATAATCCATTCGCCCTCGTCCAAAGTGGTTGTCGAATAGAAAACGAAACTGTGTTGCTCGCTTAGCGTCGGTATAAAAGCAGCGGCCAGGTCAGCTTCCTGCAAACAACCGGTTTACGTAAAATGTTGTAAGCCAATTTCAAATATGTATCTTCCATACCAGCTTGATGGAATTGAGAAATTAAACAGTTTAATCATATTTTTAGTACCCAGAGACAAAAAGAAGATATTTCTTTAATTAGAGGTCTTGAAGTGAGCTGAGAAGCAACTAAGACCCATAAATAGAGCTAAAAGCGGTCTAAGATGAACATCTAGAAAGCTTTTCGGTTTCTCAGCTCCTTATTTAGTGTATGCATATCAACATCATAACTTTGTTCCAGGGTTCTACAGCCCTCAAACTTGTCTCTTTACTCACCGAGTTATTCAACATCTTTATAAGACTCTTCTCATAGTCCTCTCTCGAACCAATGATATTATCTTCCGGTACCACAACTTCATAGGTGAATTGCATTTGCTCTTGCAAGAAGTCGATTAACTCAAATGCCACACCCTTGCCCACTCTCGTGTCATTCTCCATAACCGTATAGCTGAGCGGATAATCCTCCAGCGTAGCAATCACCAATTTGCGACCCTTTATCCACTCTCTTAGCTTGTCCATTTTCTCCTTCTTGGCGATGATTGTTTTTACCGTTTCTAGTGGTGCATCATCCAAGGATGGCTCGTCGACTGCCAAATCGGGCGATATAGCAACAACGGTATTATTTTCTTCTAACTCTATTAGACCCTCGGGTAGACGTATATCCGTTAGATTTGCACACGTAAGACACAGCGCCGCCGAAAGTATTAAGTCGAAGCCGGTCATTGCAAAATGCGCTGAACTTTGCTTAGATGTATTTCGTTTTCTTATTTCTTATTTAATATTTATAACTGTCGATGGTACGAGTAAGATCTTGTAAAACTTAATAATATGCCACGGTGAATTTTTAAATTTACACATAGCGGCTAGGTTTAGCAGTCACGGGACATGCAGTTGCTTTACAAGGTCACTTGAAACCTGAAAGTGTGGACTAAGTATTATTACTTACATATATTATTTCTTTTCTAAATATGTATTTTATTTTTTACACATTTAAGATTTAACTAAATATTCAAAGAAATATCGAAGAACCAAAAACGTATAATATAAAGTATCTCCATCCTTCAGTCTATCTGTATATGCACGCACTAGTCACTCAGTTTATGAGATACCATTCTGAAATTTTGCACACTCTCTTTTCTCTTCAAGAAGCTGCTCATTTGTCAGAAAAACCGATATCGGGTCACTATAGCATATAGCTGCCATACAAACTGAACGATCAGAATCAAGTGCTTGTATGGAAAGCTTCTTCATTTCATGAGTTGTCTTCACGAAATTTGCCATGGCTTACTGTCTAAGACAATGGTCGGTTCACAAAGTGACTGATTAAAGTTCTTGTAAGGTATTTTTTAAATTTTTGTTTTAATATAAATTTTTTTTTAAATTTTTA